CATATACATGTATATAAATATACATATATATATATTATCGCTTACGAAATTCATGCCCATGAGCTGTGTGCAGGGAGTGCGCTCGCGGGGTCGGTTGGTGGGTTCAATGCACATGCTGCCAATCTGGTCACAGCTGTCTTTATTGCCACCGGACAGGACGCAGCCCAGAATGTGGGTATGTGTAAACAGAGACAACCATAGGCATACATGAACACGCACGAGTGTATATTAATACACGCACGAGTGTATATGTGGCAAGCGAGTATGTGTAAATATGTGCAACCATGAACGCACATAACACGCACGAGTGTATCTGTGGCAAGTGTGGGTGTGTAAACCTGTGCGCACATGTTTGTTAGTATATCTGTTACTAATAGTGCGAATGTAGTTTTGATAGAAAGTTGCTCATGACATGTGGCGTTGTGTGATGGTCGGTATATCTGTTACCATATATAGTGCGAGTGTAGTCGTGATGTCTACAGTTGCTCATGACACATTTCTTTGTGATTGTCTGTGTATGTGTTAAAATTAGTATGAGTGTAGTCATGATGCCTACACTTGCTCATGACATGTGTCTTTGTGATTGTCTGTGTATGTGGTATAATTAAAGTGTGAGCGTAGTGCGATAGTGTGACTGCTCCATCTGTATCAGCAGACGATGGGCATGTGTGAGAGTATATTTAATCTTTACTGTCATCAAACAAAAACGACTGTGGAATCTTTAAACACTGAAACCGCAAACCCTAAAAACGCTAAACCCTAAGGTAAGGCGTCGTGTGTATGTACTGTTTTCTTGTCGTCATGTGCATGTTCTGTACTCTGATACGTGATTGCAGCGATGTTCGCCTACGCTTCCAATTGTCATTGCAGGTGACTCCATAGCAGTATTCTATGCACGTGACAGCAAACAATTTTGAGAATCTCATTAGCGGAGACAAATTCCAGCATCTCATTGGCTCATATTAGTGATGACACTTACACGTCAATTTGCATGGAACATATGCGCTCATGTGCACATCACACAGCCACACCTGTTTACATGTTACACCTCTCTGTGTCATGCATGTGCTTATCACACAGCCACACCTGTTTACATGTTACACCTCTCTGTGCCATGCATGTGCTTATCACACAGCCACACCTGTTTACATGTCACACCTCTCTGTGTCATGCATGTGACATCACACAGCCACACTGTTTACTTATTACACCCCTCCGTGTCATGCATGTGCACATCACACAGCCACACCTGTTTACATGTAACACCCCTCTGTGCCATGCAATGTGCACATCACACAACCACACCTGTTTACATGTTACACTCCTCTGTGTTGTTATGCACTTACTCGTCTTGCAGAGTGCTCCAACTGCTTGACGCTGATGGAGAGCCTGGACAACGGCCAACGCCTGTATGTGTCGTGCACCATGCCGTCCATCGAGGTGGGGACAGTGGGAGGTGGTACGCAGTTACCAGCACAGGCGGCCCTACTAGACGTCTTGGGGGTACAGGGCCCAAACAGAGACACTCCTGGGGCCAACGCACGCATGCTAGCTCAGGTAAGGTTGTGTGTGCTAGTGTATACGACGATGATGAGAGCGTAACAGCGACTTTAGTGCAATTTCATGTGGCATGTCCGTGTGTGTTTGTGCGTAGTCTTCTGTTGGTGTATAGTATGGCTGGTATTGTGTGTGTTTGTACGTAGTCTTCTGTTGGTGTTTAGCATGGCTGTTATTTTGTGTGTTTGTACATAGACTTCTGTTGGTGTATAGCATGGCTGTTATTGTGTGTATTTGTACGTAGTCTTCTGTTGGTGTATAGCATGGCTGTTATTGTGTGTATTTGTACGTATTCTTCTGTTGATGTATAGCATGGCTGTTACTGTGTGTGTAGCATGGCTGTTGTTGTATGTATGTGTACGTAGTCTACTGTTGGTGTATAGCATGGCTGTTATCGTGTGTATCGGTAAGTAATCTTCTGTTGGTGTATAGCATGGCTGTTGTTGTATGTAACTGTAGGTAATGTTCTGTTGGTGTATAGCATGGCTGTTGTTGTATGTATTTGTAAGTAGTGTGCTGTTGGTGTATAGCATGGCTAATATTGTATGTAACTGTAAGTAGTCATCTGTTGGTGTATAGCATGCCTGTTGTTGCATGCATCTGTAAGTAGTGTTCTGTTGGTGTGTAGCATGGCTGTTGTTGTATGTATCTGTAAGTAGTGCGCTGTTGGTCTATAGCCTAACTGTTGTTGTATGTATCTGTAAGTAGTCTTCTATTGGTGTATAGCATGA